TAGGAAGCAAAAATACATGCTACTGTCTAAAGCCGGCAGAAGAAGCAAGTGAGCCAGCTGAGCTGAAATCAATTTAGAATCAATTATTCAAGCTAAGAGTGGGGGATTATGGCCAAGCTACTGTATACCCAGCTGTCAATCTCTAAGTGGCAGGGATTCCCTGCTTACTCTGCTTGTCTGTGCGGTGAGTGTGGTTTTATGTTTGTCAAACTACGTCTAAGACGAGAGGATCAATCCCTCGTCAGGGCTGAAAGCAGTACATCTCCCACACTGGAAACTATTTAGTTGTGGTGTGTTAAAGCTGCACTGGAATAAATGGCACCCACAGTGTTGTTCGGAATAATTTGTAGTTAAGAGCTAATGGCTCATGTTTGCAGAAAAATCGACAAACCTGCATAAACCTACATTCTCTTATAACCTGGTAAGTGTTACTTATTGATGGTCAGATGCTTCATGTAAAAACAACTCACACATGCTTTTTTTTAAAGAGCATAATAAACACAAGAACCAACACAACATCCACTCTCAGGGTCTTCCTCCAGCTCTCAGACGGTGCATACCTGTCCCAGAATAAACCTCGCCCTCTGGCCTTCCACTGCATAGCCGTAGCTGGATGCCTGGTCTAACATTAGCACATATTTGAGTGAAATGCGCAGGGGCCCGGCAGTCTCCATGGGTTAAAAACGGATGCACGTCTAGATTATTTATGAGTCGGATTGCGAGTTGTAACTTTCTACAATACCTCTTTTTAAAGGAGAGGAAGGAGGAAGATGGAGCAGTGCACTTTGCAAATGGCAGATGGTGTATGCATACTGTACGTTAATAAGCACTCATAGGTGGGTAATTATATAGTTTAAGAAGAGCAAGATGAGCCCAAAGGCCACATGCAGTTGTAAATTTATGCTGGTTGGTAATTCTATGTGGGTACATATAATCTGTGCATAACATAGTAAGATTCATACATTATAAATCATCAAGTTGTGAAGTGCTTCTCTGTCAGTGCCCTTCCATTAAAAGATCCTCAACTCAGCACTGAAGACTCAACAGCTGTGTGTTCACATGTATGCCGGTGAATGTCACAATAACAGTAGATCGGAGGACCCTCTCTCACACCACAATTTTAATTTTCTACCATACATGATTCTTGTGACAAATATGTAGCTTTTTCTAAGCAAAAACAACTAAGTATTCCCCTGGAGCTGTAGAAAAAGTCATTACCACAAAACTGCAGCATCAACAAGAATAAGACAACAATACAATAGTTGTCTTTATTTGTCAAAATATATTTTTCTAGAAGAGAACAGAATGTGCCCAGAAATCTGATCAAGTGGTTAGAAAAAAACATGTCTCTGCCCAGATTCCAACTCTGTGCATACAAAGTGAATAAACCCTTTCTACTCCCTGCAAACACGAGAGGATAGCAAAGCAACGTAACTGCTGATGCAAGCTCAAATCTCCTGAAAAACCCAAAGGAAGTGCTAGGATTCACCTGCAGCGGCTGTTGGCTTGCATCGGAAACAATGTATGTGGAATAGAGTGAAGTTGATGCAGGAAGGCCTGTAACACAGCCACTATCTGTCCTTTTTGTAAAGGAATTTAAGCCATATGTTGTCACACTGTACAAGTAATTCAGAAGGTAGTAGAGTCCCTATATAGTAACAAACAGCACGAACTGACACTACAAGCACTGGAACTGTTGCAGAGAAGATAGTGGAACTGGATGTATGTGTTCTTTATGTATCATTTATTAAACTCCTTCCGGAGTCTATACATTTTCTTACTGCATAGCTCTAGATGTTGACACAATATGACATTTAAATAAATAATTCATGGGTATATGTCATATTTTATAATAGGCAAATCTGACATAATGTCCCCAAGCACTCAGCTTTGTTAATCATCCAGATTTAATTTTCCTTGTTTATTTGCAGAAGTCGGTCGAGTCCTGAGGCGACCTCCCCTCACAGTGTGGGGTGTGGAGACTCTTGGCCTATTTGCATTGGGGAGGGGGGTCTCTCTTTAATTCTCCATGTTGACTATAACATCATGTGACAGACGTAAACATGGTGTTTCAACTAACGAGTCCATGTCTGGCACAAGGTCAGGAGGTGCTCATTATGGTAAAAAAGCACACTGTGACAGGGACAGAACATGTTTGCCGGGTCAACTTAAAATGTAACAATCCAATTCTTAAAATAGCAATAATGGCATGTTGTGTAAAACTGACCTTACATCAGTTGAACACCTATTACTTTTCTTTCCTTTACAAAGAAAGAAAAATACTCATGTTGGTAGCTCCATTATAATGATGTCAGGTAAAGCATGAAACTACCTACAACAGGTCATAAAAATATGAAAATTCAGCCTAATCTCCCAGCGCTGTCCAGAGGGAGCTGTTAGGACACAAAGTAAATCTCACACATATCCAAAGGGGGAGTTGGGGCTGTGAGAACCCCTCGTCGACAGGAGGCCCGGGCTTTAAGTCTGCCTGGCTCCAGAGGAGACAGCGAAGGAAAGATCCAGACAACATAGCTCACTGCCAAGCATCGTTACTTACAACACCCACTTCACTCCACAGCACATTTCCACTGCCGGTTGCCAGATTCAGTAATGATGATATTAGATAAAAACAACCTCCTTTAAAAAAAAAAAAAAAAAAAATCTCTCCTGCAGAGCAAATGAAATGAATTTGAGATGAGCTATTGGAAAGAAAAGGGTCTGAACATTGTTTTTATGGATTGGGGCAGAATGACTGAGGAGTGTAAATATTTTTGAATCATTGTGTGGCTCCAGTGTGAATAATGATGTGTAATGGTGGCTGTCATTACCCTCTAAATTTGGGGTTTTTGGATTTGCAGCAAGTAAAATAAAGCAGAATGATGTTTCGATGGCACACTTATGACAGCTATAATGCTAGTCATGAAATTCTCTATAATATCTGGACCATCCAAGTAGAGCTGGACTACCATGAAGATCGCAAATACTTGTAGTAGTGTAGGGCAAAGAATAGGAAAAAAGATGTAAGATGATTACAAGAAGAAATAAGAAGAAAATAATTTTAATACACAAAAATGTGAAAGAAGTCGCTTTATTTGTCTGATGCAGAGCACAAGCAGCCCAATGGGCCAATCAGGAACAACAAGTGTCATCCTTCCCAGTTTCTGTTACCATAAATATAATAGGGGATCTAGAAGTGAATACAACACTGTCATGATTTGGATGTCTTTATGTAAGAGAGCCTAAGGCAGTGCTTGTTCCATTACAAGTGTTATACCCAAAACCTAGTGAGGTCAGGACAAGTTAAGAGGAGAGGCAATGTACTCTCAATACAAATATATCTATTAGAGTTGCAACGATTAATTGATTAGTTGTTAAATTAATCAGCAACTATTGGAGTATTTTTAAAGGAAAAAAGTCAACATTCTCTGATTCCAGCTTCTTAAAAGTAAATATTTTCTGGTTCTTTACTCTATGACAGTAAACTGAATATCTTTGGGTTTTTGAAAAAACATTATTTTGGGCTTTGGGAAACAGTGATCGGCATTTTACACCATTTTCCGACATTTGATCGATCGGCAAACAACTAAATGAACCTGGGAATGCAAACCACAATACCCAACGCACAAAAAACACGTATTTAAGGGTGGATTGTTCCTTTAAGACTGACCTGACTACTGTCAGGTCATGTCAGACTTCAGCAGCAGAGTGCTGAGCTGTAACACTCCCGTCTCCCCGTCCTCCCTTTACTGCAAGTCCATTTGCTCTTCCAGTGTCATGAGGAGGCTCTAATGAATCAGCCTATTGAGCTAGGCAGAACTGTGCACAGCCTTTAACACTGCCAAAGTGTGTGTATGTGTGTGTGTGTGTGTGTGTGTGTGTGTGTGTGTGTGTGTGTGTGTGTGTGTGTATTGCAGTCCAACTTTCCCAGCCTCCCAGAACACAAAGCTGTCGTTTGTGGCCTCTCAGCACTACAAAAGCCCCACAGGCCACCAGTGCTGACAGTGAATGTGTGTCAGTAAGTGTGTCTTCAACTATAGGTCTATGTAGCCGTATATACATGCTTGTGCCATGTGTGTTTGACTTAATATGTGCGTGTGTACAAGTAAAAGAATCAGCTGCAGCTTTTTTCCTTTTACGTGTGTGTATGTGGTCAAGATGTGGCCACATACATTCAGTCTGCATTTCACTGGGATGTGCCTAATGATTACAAGACACATCATGTGGCCCAGAACCAAAGTCAAACACAAACTCAACCACCAAACCGTGGCATGCAGACTGACGGCCATAAAGCTAAAGATATACAGCCATTGCAACAAGACCAGAACTCTTTCTTAGATCTTAACACAACTACAAACTGAGGCCAACAAATCATATCAAATATTGCTGTTAAACACAAACCACATACAGAACATGTGCAATCAGGCATAGAGACACACACACACACACACACACACACACACACACACACACACACACACACACACACACACACACACACACACACACACACACACACACACACACACACACACACACACACACCAAACTCCTCCTCTGACTGAGTCACAGAGACAGATGTTATTTATCAGGGAAACACCCATTATTCTGATTATAATTAAAACAGTTTGTTACTACAAATCAATGTGTGTTAGTCCTTGGAAAGACTCCTTTTGATTAATATCAATGCAAATGGTCACCACAAATCTGTTGTGTGTGTGTGCGTACGTTCTTCCAGGATAACCAATGTAAACCTTTTCCAGATTCATTTCTGTCTAACTGTGCTGCCATTTTTTTTTATACTTACTGAACCAAACTTGAACTGAACTGAACTAAAATGCGTACATCAGTTTTACTCGTTTAAATTTGATCAATAAATAACTAGAATAAACTTGTAATAAGCTCAACCGCTCTTATGCTGGAGGGCTGGGTTGAACATCATTACACTATTATCCATGTCAGATGTGCCCGGCCTTTTATGATTTACACCAAAGACTCTCCCAGAACTGTAAGCCTTTTATTGTTTCCACCCTCTATAAAATCCATCACTTTGGCTGGATGCCTACAGTCTTTTCATGTCTCTGTATCGTGGCCTGTACCCACCAACAGCTGCCTGTCTCTGCAGTAAAAATGTGTATAATTCAAAACCTCCTTTGTCCTGCAGATTTGTCCAGTAGTCTCTAAACTGAAGCCAGCTTAGCATGAGTGTTGATTTGTCTTTGAGTGAGTGAATGAGTGACTGCCAAAGATGTGTCTGACTCAGGATGCATCTGGGAAAGAGAAAAAGAGGTATACAGTATGTGTGCACAGATTCTAAACTTCACTTGTATGACTCTATACCTTTCAGATGCATCAGAAAGCATATATATGCAGTTTAAAGGGTCCAAAAATGTCACAATTAAGTTTCAAATTATGCATTGTCCATTTGAAAAGTACGAAATATTCAAATGGAAAGACCTACAGATAGAAATCCAGAAATTACTGAGAAAGAAATAAGGTATGGCCAGGCTAGCCTCACTAAATGAGTTTTGATTACACTGGGGAATTGTTTTTTTAATTGTCATGTACCAAACTACACATGAATAACTGAAAATGTATCGGTATTTAAGAATACTTTCTGTATAAGCTTAAAATCATATCATATATACATACATAACTGCCTGTATTTAGTTGTGTTTGATTTCTCAGGATGTTACATACAGTAACACCTAAATTAGCAAAGAATAAAAATATAATCGCCTTTCCTTAAGAACGACATACCTAGGTGGAGGTATGTCTGAAGAGATTCACCTGTTTAGCATTTATAGTGCACACCTGACTGAAAAACAAGGCCAGGGAGTTTCCAAAATCACTAATCCCTGATGAATTTACCTCCACAGCGTATGTATGTTTACACAGAGACAGTTATGTGGGCAGCCAGTGAGTGCGGTTTGGAGCTGCCGGGAGATAAGAGCAGCTGTGATAAAGCCATCCAGATGACTGCAGAGAAGAGAGCAGGCAGCCAGCAACTCAGGTCACAGAGCTTCACAAGTATTCAACATGACAAAGTCATCCGTCTGTGAGGATGGAAGTCTGGAGGGTTGAAAAGCTGCTTTTGACTGGAGGGTAGCAGGTTTAAGTCTCCAGATGAGCTGGGGCATCTGGGTAATGGAAATGAAGCAGTGAGGATACATTTTCTGAGGTGCCCTGTGCTATGAAGACAGTGTTGTAGCCACACTTTATTTTGAAAACATGTTTATGTTCTGTGAATTTTAGTTTTTGGATATTTAAGGATGTCATCTTTTTATAAATATGAGCCTATACTCTTGCTGCAATTGTTGCTAACATGAGCTTTTGCTTCACAAAATAAGAGCAGGCAGATACCAACAAGCCACTGAACTAATATTCCTTCTGTAGACGCTCACTGTGAATGGCATTACAATCAGGTGCATGACATCAGCAGGGCAAGGCAGCCAGGACCGGCTGCATGCTGAGGCAGTTAACAAAGTCAGAAGACGAGAGGACTTTAAATGAGGGCGAAGGGAGACACTGACGTCTCTTTACTGCCCTGCTGAGTAGAGGACAGCTTGTCTTACTGAAGGAAATGAAAAAGAGAAGGGGAGATGGAAGCAGGAGGAGAATAGATGACAAACAACCACAGAGAGAAAAACAAGAGTAGAGACGGAGCAAAGAAAACAAAGGGAACAAAATAAAAAAACAATCAACCTTGCAGAGAAAGAAAATGACCAGTGGAAAGATTTGACCTTTGCGTCCCTCCAGTGACCAGTTTGGCAGTCATGTGTTTTATATTTCTTTTCTCTTCCATGGTATTCTTTTTTTGTCCCTTTAATCGTCTTTTCAGCCCTCTTTATTCTGAAGACACCCGCTAAACCCTCAGCAATGCCTGGTTCTTTTTGTTTCTTCTAAACCTCATTTTGTCTTTGTTACCTGGTTGAACAAACACCTTGACTACTTGCAATGCCAACAAGTGTTTCATTCGTTCAATATCAACCTCTGTAGTCACAAAAGGTTCCTGACCGATATTCAATTTAACATTATATATTACGGTACAATTACTCACTTTAGAGGAGGAAGCTGTTCAAAGACCTGGAAGCAGCTGCAGAAATGTAATATCTGTCCAGTATTGGACTATATAAAAATAAACAACTGTCAAAGGAACATTAATAACAAACAGTATGGCAGCAATGTGAAATTAGGATTGCCGTGGTTTCCATCACAGTGGACAATGAGATGAATTGGCTCACCGACGAGTAGATACTGGTTAGCTGCACTGACTAGGCTAGCTAACAAGCAGCGCTGAGTTCATTTAGTTAGATACATCAACTGATAATATGTCCATGTTGTGTTTACAGCTTGTTGCGCTGCCCCCAAGTGGTCGAATAATCAATGACTGTAGCTTTAAAGAATGAGAAAAGGAAGGATTGAGTTGACTCTCGTCTCACTACCACTAACTTCCATTACTACGGTCCTAGACAATGTCAACACGTCAAAAGGCCAATATGCCTAATTCAGTTCAATAGTGTGTATTACTTATGAACTCTGCTATCAGTGCAGGATCAACTAAATCACAGAAAGCACTATGAAACTCATTAAGAGATTACATCAACAGTTGTTAATCCACTTTCTGTTGTGGTGTAATTTATAAATGGAGCATTAGGAGCTTAGCCAGATGGCTTAGCTGTAGTTTGCACTCTTAATGGCAAACATGTCCAAATCACAAAGCTGTCAGCTCCAGTGGGAATCCTGTGGCAAAGTCCTTGTTGATAATTACACTGAATCAACTTATCAGAGAGAACTGTGACATTTTTTTAAAAACTTATATTCAGTTGAAAGTCTCAATTTGAGATACGTTAATAATACAAATAATAACAGAACATGTTGTTCTGGTTTGGATCAGAGCAGGTAGCTCATGTTAAGTGCTGTATATGAGTGCAAGTGTTTATTGGAGCCAATGAGAAAATCTTACTTCCTCCTGGGATTCACCTTTGATTAGCTTGTATTTAAGTTTTGAAAGTCGTAAAAATGTTTTATTCTTAGGCCAAGTTGCCACGCCTCATTTTAGCCTCTACAGGGACACTGCAGTGAACTCCTTCTGTGCCCTGAGGAAACATAGTGTATCAGAAAGACATGCAAACTAGCAAATTAATGCTGCATGTAATACCACTCAACATACTGATCTAAATATAAAGTGCAGTATTATCAGCTAGCACAAGCCACAGCAATAATCAGAGATACACACTAATAGAGACTTGAACACAACTAAAGCTCTCAGCAGCTAAACCTGGTGATAGTTCAAATGGTATATCCAGAAAGTACCCAGATATGAGTGCAACTGCCGCCTTGCTTTGTCTGCAAATGTACTCTGAGAGGTATTTGACACATTGTGAGACACGTCAGCAAGCAAAGCTGCATTGTGTTTCCCCTCCCTGACCTCGCAAGGACTGGACCTGGGAGATCTGCCAAACTAGGACTGAGAGGAGGAGAGAGATGCCCTAAAAGTATCTGACAGAGAAAGAGAAAGAGTGGGAGGGTAAGATAAGGCTGAGACCGAGAGACTGAGAGACAAGAGGGGTAAAGAGACACACAGAAAGGGAAAGAGAGGAGAAGGAAAGAGGGAGAGGATCTTTCTCAATATGGATTCTTGTGTCCAGTATAACCCATTTATCATAGGAATATCTAAATATCTAAATTACAGTTCATTTTACTTTTACAGCTGAGGATGAGTCAGACTGTGGCTAAGGGATGAGAACTCTTTGGATTCACTGAAACAAGAACATACCATGTTCAGACAGTAAAGCAGCTCCGCAAATTAACATTTATGGGTGGTGCAACCTCACTTAGTCAGTCACATACTGTAAACTGCTTCTTTGTGTCTGTTTTCTTAGAATGTCAATTCTCTTTCAGATGACATGGGAACAAACTTTAGCACAAGGTTGCAAAGACCATCTTGGCTTTCTTGATTATGATGATCATCCTTTTTAATTAGAGAATCTGATCAGAAGCAGAAAAGCTTGTAACTGGTATCATGAAAACGCATACTCGAGGCAGGCACTTCTACGTAAAAGATAATGACATTAGCTCAGTTATAAGTCATTTTCCTACAATCAAAGGTTTAAAATGGGTCCTTGGTGTTGAATATACAATATCTGTATCACCTAGTGTTTCTGTTATGCTATATGTGCTATATGTCTGTTGAAGTTGCACAGTCATTTGTAGCGCAATAGAAATCTGAGTGTAAGTGTTGCCTTTCAACATAGCATATCTATTGCCAAACACAAACACTGAAGACCAATGACAACAGGCTCAACATTAAAATACTGAACCAATCGAGAGTTTTCTTGCATACAAGAACCTTTTTGTTTACTTCTAAAGCATTTGTGCATTACAGTTGGTAGTGAACATATTGACACAACAGATTAAAAACGAAAAACCGGACAGGCAGGATTATCTCAATAGTCTGAAAGTCTAAAAAGTGAATTTGTCTAAAAAGGGGAAGGCAGCGTTTCGCAAAAAGTGAAAATGAAGCATGGCAGCTGTGGCCTGTGGTACAGCTGACTGAAAGCAAGGTTGACTAAGTTAGTCTTTGAAGATGTTGGAATGAAAGATAATGACAAATTAAAGTGTGAATGTGAAAATTAGTAGTATTAAGAAGCTTCAGTCACAACAAGTGTACTTAAACAGTCCATCCTTTGAAATAGCTCCAGCTGCCACTGCAGGAAGTGTTGTTGTGTAGTGGCACTTGACATGCATCTGTCTCAGTATTACAAACTAGCACTAGGGCTGCATGATATGGTAAAAGCACCACAATGCGATTATTTTGACAGATATTGCGATTGTGACATGACTGGGGAATTATAATTTTTGCATCACAAATTTAATTTTCACTTAAAAAAATATTTCTAATCATGACGATGTGAAGTTTTTTGGTGTCTGTACTAAACAAAAATGTTCTGTGAAATGTGGAGAACAAGACTTGTACACCAGGACATCTCTTCAGAACTACAATACTTCATTATAAAGCTTTTCTGTCAAAAATTTTACCTTTATCAAATAAAAAACTTGTGTGATTTCGATATTACACTTGGCCATATTGCAATTACGATAGTATATCAATTAACTGTGCAGCACTAACCAGCACACACACAGACTCTTCCTGTTTGTTGTGCTAAACAAACTGTCAAAATCCTCCTAGCTCCATCAAATTCACATCCATACTGTACTTAGTAAATAAAGTGGTTCACAATCTCATCCTTTCTCTTTCCATGAATTGCAGACAGAGGGCAAAAACTAAAAATAAATGAGTACCAGACAGTTTTGACATGGCCCCACCCATCGAGTTGGGAAAATACATTATTTGACAAGACTCAATAAGCAAGCTAAGGCATTGAATGGATTAATAATTGTTAACGGCGTCATGTAACAAACAAGATCCTGCTTAGTTGTCCTGGCGACAAGTGGGCAAAGGAGTGAGGGAGAGATACTAGAAAGAGAGAGACAGAGAGAGGGAGAGTAAGGCCTGTCACTATTTCCTAACTTCCAACACAGTAAAATGTCTAGCCAGAAGCAGTTTGTAGGCTTACCACCGACCAAATCCGTGTCATTTATTCAAGGCTCTCCAAAAAGAGCTCACTATTACTCTCCATTTACCTTCTGCGTCCTTGAGAAAACCAACAAGGAGGGCGGAGGCGTTTGGGCGACAGACCAAAACTTCAGTCAACACTACATTTCAGAATGTTTTTTTTCATTTTATTTCCCATCAACTGCGTTATGGTGTAAAGTAATACCCAAAACAGAGCCGTGCTGTTGATGCGATCAACAGGTGTTTTAGAAGTTTGAGAAGGAGCTGAAATGGTGCGTGTTGAAATTCTTACCTCTCAGGGGACTGCTTGAGTTAACAACGTCTCGCCAACTAGGACAAAGAAAAAAAGACACAAACACATTATTACTATTATTATTATTACTGCTACAGCTATCCACTAAAGCTCTGAGACATATTATGTGTCTGAGATGAAGAAATCTGTCAAAATTATAAGCAGACACACTCATTTGCTTTAAGTGTTATTTACTCATTGTGTGTTTTTTGAAGACTGTAATGCCAGGACACAAAAACCCAAATTAGCCAGGAATGAGTGAAATAATAACCTGAAATTAAAAGAAGACAGCTCCCACAATAAAGTCTACTTCATAGCCTGAAGCCTTTTCATTATCCTTGAAAACTGTTTGCTCTGTAATTCAGCATATTTGACACACTCAAACAATTTAATGAAAAAGAAGATAGTCAATGTTAGAAAACCTCTGTTGTCTGTCTTTTCCATCAGGTGACAGACATGGATTTATGTCACCAACACCACCTGCTTTGGGTGTCTTTTTATGCATGCAGGCAAAATGACAAACCACACACCCTATTTTTAGATACAGAAAACCTGGTAACCAACCAACTTCTTTACAAAGGAAATGTTTAATGTCCTTCTTCCTCTCTTACAGCATGAATCATTTCTAGGAGGAAAGACTCTGTAGAGACCAAGTGTTCATCATGCTCTCTCTACGGTCTTTATACTACAGGAACCTTTACCATGTCTGGATGTGGTTCAATTACTGCCCATGTACATGTGTTTATACTGGATCCTCACGAGTGTAGAGGCCTCAACGTGTGTGTTCTCGGTCAAAGCGGTCAGCACTTTCCACCACGGAGAGTGGGCTGTGCCTCCATACTGTACTGGTGGCTCCACCGAGCACCAGGCGGCCTGAGGGACTCGGTCTGCCCTTGATAGTCATCTATGTCATCTGCACAAACACCAACTGTGTCAACACCAGGGAGCATGGTTCACTGTGGGAGAACACGAGAGCTATTGATAGCATGTGAGATGTGTTATTGCTGATGGTGCTGCGCCTGTATTCCATTATACTGAAAACTAGCTACTGGGAATTTTAGAAATGGCCCAAAATAAGAAATATCCCAAATCTATGTATTGAAGAATTATGAAACAATGTGTTAAGAGACGAAGCTGCTCCATGAAGGGCTGTGTCTTGTATGAATCCACAAGACTCACATTAGTTTGTATTTAGCAGAACAGCTAAAAGCTGAATCTTGCATGAGTTTGTGCAGTCAAAATTATGCAACTGTAGGCACAATGACTGGAAGTGTTGGTTGCTTCTGGGACTATTACGAGAAGTTGTAGAACACTTGAAATGTGAAAAGTCCCAGATGTCTGTCCAGGTTGGCTGAATGAACAGGAATTGAAACCACCTGCTGAATCTGATGGGGATGTTTTTCATGTTAGGAGATGGAAAAATGAATTTTCCTTCAGTTCTCAGGTGTGGAATGACAATAAAATGTGTGAGAAGCACAAAAGTCGCTGACAGCAAGTCTGCTCGAATCTATGAGCGGCTTATTGGTGAATGCCTGATCCAGAGATGAATGTGGATTACAGATTCTACTCAGCTTGGTTATCTATGCACCCACAGCCTATTCAGACCTAGTTTCTCGAAACCAGATATATCAAGACTGTGCCTAGATCAGACTGTAGTTCACATTTGGCATCAGCATCAGAGTCTCAATTTCAGATGTGTCTCGATTGACCACTTGCGGGCCGACTGTGGCTCAGGAGATAGAGCAGGTTGTCTACTGATCACAGGGTTGACGGTTTAATTCCCCCTGCCACTGCTGTCCACATGTCAAAGTGTCCTTGTGAATGTGTGGAACATAAAGCTCTTTGGAGAAAAGCACTATACAAAAGCAGTGGATTTCCATCACAGGAAGTTAGCGGGAATATCTTAAAATCAAGGTGCTTAAAAGTTGGTCTAAATGTACATTAAGTTACTGTATATAGATCAGTTTGAAGGTAAGCAATGCTTATTATGTGTGAAAAAAGGTACTTTTAACAACAGAAATATACCCCTATTTATACATGTAATGTACGTGGAATTTAGCTGAAAATACAAACTGACTGAAGAGTCAAACGATCAGTCGGTCGATAGTCAGCTGTGAAGTCCGTCCGAATCTCCCAGCATCCATACATCCAGGGGTCAACCACCACTGTAAAGTAGCATGGGTGTTCACCCCCTTAATCTTTTCTTCACAGTCTATAGGGAACCACAGCTTGGTCATGACCTATGACCAGGTTCACACTGTCAGCAGCATTAACAACATGTACCACAGCAACTGAAACAAGCAGAATGAACTCCACTTCAAGTCATTAACTAAGCAGGGCACTGCACTTGACATACTAATTATTTTTTCTTTGGGCGAGATGCAGAGAGACAAGGAGAACTAGCACAGTTATGCAACAACCTTTTCTGTTGACCACTGCGGTGGCCTTAGTGATTTGGTGGATGTGACTGTTCAGCCACAGAGCATGGCCCCCTTCACCCTCATTATATAAAATACAGACAAAAGTCTTTGTCTGGATTTTTTTTTTTTTAAACTAATTATTGCTTTGGCCATATTAGAGGGATGAGTAAACCTCTAATAAACAGAACACAGGCCTACAACAAGTTGCTTGAGGTGTGACCAAAGCTCAAAGAGACACCACTTCTTTTTAAAAAGCCAAGGGATGAGATAAAAGTCAACTTTGCTTACTGTCTTGTTAGTTTTGCTACAGTTACACAACAATCCTGTCCGTCGAGTTTAGAGAGTTGAGCGTCCAGATCAGCCCTGTCACTCTCTGATGGCGTGGTGGTTGGACACTCTGTTAATTTAGAGGTATGAGGGGGATAACGGGCAATTCTTCCAACGCTATTGAGCTGATTTATGTAACGTGTGACTGAAAGTGTAATGAGTGAGAGGAGGAGACAGCCAGAGGAAAGGAAAAGATGGGGAGACTGAGCTAACATCACAGCAGAGGTCAAATTCTTAACTGAGAGCCAAAACAATTTAGTTGAGCCTAAAGCAAAAGAAGCATGTGTTAGAATTTGTTTATCCTCACATCAGAGACAGAACAGATGGCAGATAAGACAGCCAGCCAGGACTCTGTTCATTCAGCAGGAAACATCAGCTGATTTTGTCAAATGTTGTTCAAGTGTGAAAATCAACCCATTTAAGTACTCACACATGTACATGACAGCATCCTGTCATGATAGGTCGATACAGGAATAGCTGCACAGAACTGATAACACCCCAAATACCTTCAGCTTCAATTTGATGCAATAACAGTATATTAAAGCAAGACAAGACTGAAGTTGCAGCTTGTAGGTCACAAACCATACCATTCCCCAAGCAAATCAGTTCAAATTTGAGCATATACTGCATTAACCTGCTTAGCATTAGCATAGCACAGAGTTGCGAAATAGCTCTCGATTTTGCCTATTCTTCAAATATTCAAAAGGGGATGTAAATTGGATGTATCCTTGCAGCTTCGCTGAAGAGCAGAATTTGCACCTGGTGGCAGCAGTTTTTCAGATGGTGTGATTCTGTACTGCTGTCCACTCTGAAAGCCCCCTAATCTGACTACTGTTGACTCTGCTTTATTGGGATGTGTGTGTGGCTGTGTATGTATGTGTGTGAGTGTGTGTTTCCAACTCTGTGCTACAACTGTCCATAAACATTAGGTTATATCAGGAAACTTAACACATCACTTGTTCCAACAAATAAATAACTGCCTGCAGAATGACTAGAAAAAGCAGACAGCTTAGTAATGAACAATCAAATGAAGACATATTCAGAAACAAATGGAATATTTTCAAAAAAAGCAAAAGCAATTATTTTCCTTGAAACTACAGCCAGAATTACAACTCATCCCAGTGGAAATAACATGCAAATTATCTGAGGTTGAGTTAAACTGTTAACAGAAAAAATAATATTAATCTGTATGGTTGGAGCTTTTTAAGTCTGTTATCAGGTTGAGCGATTGGGCGAATATATGGGCTATCAGCGACTGGCTGTTGCTGGCTGTTTTTATGGGCGATATTTGACATTTTATTTGCCTCTGAAGAACGAGGAGCGCTCCTCAGCGTCAGACTGTTGTTCAGCGGCACAGTACACACACTGAGACGAAAAACAACAATTATTTCGACCAGTTTGACGACAGGGAATACAGTGCTGAGGTGATTTACAGGGGCTCCAACCAGGATTTCAACCCCAGGGGACAGCGGAGACACAGCGGGGGTGGGCCGGGACAGGGTGTTTGTGAGAATTTGTGAGATATTGTCTTGCAGGATTTTCACTGGAGACAACAGCAGTACAAAGACAGGCAGGTTACTGATACTAAAGGAGAATAAACACAGCTGCTCAGGTCTGGAGCACTGCACAGAAGAATAGAAACATGCAAACAGCATGTATGTGCAAACATGCAGATGCCTTCACAGTGCAGGTATAAATATCCACCTTTAGCTCTGGTGAACATGTGATGGACATGTAATATCATATAGTTCAAGACAATTGCTCTGCATTAAACACAACTGCATCTTTGTGACACAACACTGAGGTAATCTGTGAGGCAACAGCAGTTAACATGCCCCTTTCCCTCCTAAACCCCAGCACAAAAAAATAGCAGTGTTTAGTTCATACCTCTAACAATCTCATCTCACAAGGGGAACCGCACCCATAAACACACACAACGCCATTTAAAACTGCCCCTTTCCAGATATTTTTCCACTGTAAAACAGTTGGGTATACTCATACATTGCCTTGAAGAGTTTGTCTTGTGGATGGAAACTGCCATATTAATTTAAAGGTCCAGTGTGTGAGGATCTATTGGAAGAACTTGAATTGAATGAAAATTGTGTTTTCATGACCTTAGAATGAGCCGTTTTTATCTATCTAGAGTTTCATGGCCACCGTAGTTTCTCCTACACACTTCGCAGCCCTTTCTCATTCTCAGGTCGTCAAATACTGACGCGAGGGGTGTTCAGTTAGTTGCAAAATGAAACATCACTGCTAGATGCCACTAAATCCTACACACTGGTCCTTTA